TTCCTGGAGTCAGCTGCTGATCAGTTTCAGCAGCAGCTGACTTGGGGACGCCTGGGGTTCTTAAGTTGAATCTGTATGCAAGTCAGAACTGGTGTCCAGATTCAGCCGCTGTTGAAACTGATCAGTTTCAGCCGCGGCTGAATCTGGATGCCAGTTCCGACTTACATACAGATTCAACTTAAGAACAAACCTACAGTCCCTACCTTGTACGTAACCCGGGGACTGCCTGTACTGGCCTCTAGTATGCTAGACAATAACACCACAGAAATGGGGATTTTAATTATAGTTTATACTTACCTCATTTTGAAAGGTACAGTGCTTATGCTCATGATTTTTTTTTTTAATGAATGATGACGCTGAGTTTTATAGGCTGGATTGAGGGTTTTGGGAGTGTTTAATTCATAAGCATTGGAAATTTCTACTAAGAAATGGTTTAGAAAAGAAACTTTTGTTAAGGCTAATAGCATTTTTGTTAATTTATTTGGTGTTTAACATGCTATTGCCTGTATTTCAGGAATATTTGGGATGGCAGTATTGTTGTTGAGAGAATTTTCAAGAGTGGGAACCGAGAAGTTTTTGCAGTAAGTTGGGAAATTATTTGGGTTTTTCGTTTTTAATCTTCTGTAAAGACTTTATTTATTTCCAGCACTTTTACAAGTCCTCTCATATCAGTGACATTGTATTGGGATACTTGTGGTATTTTAGCATACTTATTTTTTATTGTATTTAATTGTTCTCTATGGGAACACTGGGAATGGGATGTAAACTCTTTCACATCTAAGTTACTAGTTTGCTTTACCTGAATTAGTAGTGCTTAAAAATTACCAGCTGGTATGTTGGTGATTGTGTGAAATACAATGGTTTTCTTAGTCTTCCAGTACATGTTATTTCATAATAAAACCCAAACTATAATTTAGTGCATCCTGTTTCCTTTGCTGACAGCCTCAGCAGAATAGCTGAGTAGAAATTGCTCTAAACCAGTGGTTGTCAAAGTGATGTCCACAGACCACTAGTGATCTATGGCCACCTCCCAGGTGGTCTGCAGCTCGAGCTCAGTCCCCCTCCCCCACACATCAGGGAGCCCTCGCTGCTGCTGCAGCCTTCATGGTTGCCACGCAGCCACGAGGCTGCAGCATCAGCTCTGGCTTCCCACTTGAAGGGTGGGGACTGGTGGTGGTGAAGAAAGCCCTGACTTGAGAGGAAGAGGGGTATGCAGAGAAGCATGGCTGCCAGGCAGTGGGGGTGGGCTGGGGATTTCTCACTGCTTCTTTGTCCCCTCCCACTGGAAAAGTGAGAGTGGGTTACATGGGGATTTCAGGGCGACTGCACTTCCTAGTGCGGAGTCTCTATGTTGCTGCTCAGCCAGGGCTTGTCCCAGTTTTCCTGGGAGCTGCTGGAATTGCCACTCTTCCCAGGCACCCCAGCAGACCCCAATTCTTCCTGCACCCCGATGGGACAACTCACTTAACCCCCCCACCATCCCACACAAAGGCAGGAGCTCCAGGAACACAGGGCTTTCTGTCAGGATGGCTTAAGAGTGTAGAGATCTGGGTCCTGCCGGTGTTTGCACAGACCCTGCCCACTCTGCCCCTGCATGGAAGACATACAGGAGGGAGCCAGGCTGTGTCTGCCAGGCACAAGAACGTGGACAGGGCAAAGGATCTTCGTGAGTGAGGGGGTTTATCTGTCGGGGCTCCTCAGTAGGTAAGTGATATAGTTGTGGGGATCTCTATGTGAAGTGTGGGGGCTCCTGCATCCACTATTGCTCCTGCACCCTCCCTCCTGGCCACGTGCTACACTTCCCTTGCTCTTGCTCCCTCTCCGCTGGACAGACACCTTACTTCCAGCCTGCTTCTGCAACTCTACCTCCCACCCAGACCTTGCACCCTCACAGAATCCTGCACTTCACCTCCTGCCCAGATCCTGTACCCCAATCCGTATCCCACTCTCTGGCAGCTTTGTGTCACTGAACCCCTCATTTTTCTCCCCGCCCCAGAACCTAGGGGATCCACTAAATCCTGAACCCCAGAAAATTAAACCTGGCCTATGGTAAGCCTCAGTCCTTTCTCTCCCTTCCCCTCGCCCCGTGGGCCTGGAGCACCAAGAAGTGAGATGTCTCAGTTGGGAGCCACATCAGTGAGGGTTGGGGTTTTTGTTGGACATAAATTAATATTTTACTTTATTTAAAATGAAGTTTAATAAACTAACATGAGAAAGTTAAAACACTTAATCTGTTTAATAATTTAAATTAAATTATACTTCCTAGTTGCAGCACTAGCAATGGCTTGGGGGTAATTATGTAATTAATGGTGAGTTTCCATTAGCAACTGGTGGTCTGCGGAAAGGTTTATATTGAGCCAGGTGGTCCATGGGCCAAAAAGTTTGAGAAACACTGCTCTAAACTGTTGTGCAGCATCTTAGTTTGTGACAGCGTGAGTCAACAGAAGAACTCTGCATCTCTATACATACCTTTGCAAGCTACCTCTGTTTTTACTTTTCCAAATCGGAGTGTTTCATTTCCCAGAGGTGTCAGCTGGCACTGAAGTTCTCTTTAAAAATGCAAAGAAAATTATATATAATATGCATACAAATGTTTTAATAAACAAAAATATTCATAATCTTTGATATTCTTGTCCTGAGCTTCTGCTGACCCTATATAGCAAAATATGTAATGGATTTCTGAGTGGATAAACTTCTAAGCACTAGGCTAATGCATCCTCATCTTATTAATTAGAATCTAGGTTGGGCTGTGGTGTTTAGGTGGTAAATAATAGTTAAGGCTATGATTTTAGCAAGGACATTTTTGTAAATTTCATGTAAGAGGTATGTCCGCAAGGAGAAGGAGAAATTTATGGAAAGGTCATCAGTAACGTAGTTTGTGCTTCATCAGCGTACATAAGGGCTTGTAAGTAGTAAAAGCAAGCATTCCCTGTCCTAGGCATTACAGTCTGGCATACGTGGTTGAAGTGCCACTTACATGTTCTCCCCTCATCTCCAGCTACAGAGGAACATATACATCAGACTTGCATGGCATTGCGACTATTGTGGTGGGCAAGCAGGGAGCCAACTATGGATGCTGCAAAGACTGCAGAAAACAAGAATAATCATCCTGGAATTCCTCCTGCCACTACCTTGTTTTCCCTCCCTACTCTCCCCTTCCCTTCACCCAGGTTCTTATTCTTCTTGCTAGTAAGCCCAAGGTCCTCGGGTAATTAATCCATCCCTGACACAGCTGACCCCCAGTGCCAAGAGGAGCTGCCACCACAGTTCTGGCAGGTAAAAGTCCAGCCGCCAGAATGTAACACAACACAGAAGGTATCAGAGGAGTAGCCGTGTTAGTCTGAATCTGTAAAAGCGGCAAGGAGTCCTGTGGCACCTTATAGACTAACTGAAGTGTTGGAGCATAAGCTTTCGTGGGCAAATGTATGCATCTGACGAAGTGGGTCTTTGCCCACGAAAGCTTATGCTCCAACACTTCAGTTAGTCTATAAGGTGCCACAGGACTCCTCGCCGCTACAACACAGAAGGGGACTCAGCCAGGATGATGCAGGGTGAGAGCCGGTGCCAGGTAGCCAGACTGTGGTGTGCTCCTTTTCGGCTGTGGTGCGCTCCTTTCCAGAGTTCCCTGTTTAAAAAAGAGAGGACGAGGGAGGAGATGATAATGTTCCTGCCTGCCTGGTCCAGTATCTAGTACCTTTAGAGCCAGGCCCAACATCATATGGCAGGAGCTATTGCTGTAGGGTGAGTGCAAGATGGGCTTTTTACAGACTTCATTCAGATTCATGATTAATGTGAACACCATTACCTCTATGCTAAAATCATTGCCTTAATGGTAGTGCATTGACTTCACATAGTTACTTCAGCTACCTTTTGATAATATTGTGTTAGTGCTGTTTATTCTTTAGTTATCATTTCATATCTCTCTGCTGAAAATTTAAAGTGCTCAGAGATTTTAAATGAAAAGAAGCTTCCTCCTTCTCTTGCAGATTGAAAGCAGTGTTCCATCGCACATGCTAGAATCTGTGCTACATGAACTTAAAGGTTTACAGGAATTTCTGGATAGAAATTCACAGTTCTCAACAGTAGGAGCTCTTGGAAACCCAAGGTAGGTTTGAATATGCTTGATTTATAAAGGAAATAGAAATACTACTCTTTGAAAACTATTCCAAATAGTTGCAAAAGTGTTACTTATTTTGCCTTAAAGTGTTAATATTTTCTCTCATACAACATACCTACTTGAACTCTCAAATTCAGTTTAGTTTATTTAAAAAAAAAGTTCAGGGTTTGCACTAATAGCATCTTAATTTATTTTGGAATTGCAGTTTTAGCACCCCAGCTAACCTGCAGCAGAGGTTACTAGGATTCATGCGTCCTGATGGTGGAAGTTCTCAGCAAGTGCAACAAGAACTTCAGAGGAAGTTTCATGGTAAGAAAAGTACTCTTGAACAATGAGTGCATCCAAATGCTAAATGTGCTCAGCTGTTCCATTAAGAGCCTGAATAAAAATGCATTAGGTTGTGTGAGTAAACTCTACTTAGACATTAGAACTGTACCAAAAACAGTATAGCATCAGTTCACATTTTTCTCTTTGTTTCTGATAAGATTATAATATTTTGTCAGTACCAACACTGCATTTATTTCTATGCGGAAATTAGGGTAGCCATTTCTATATGGGTGCTTTGGGGCTGAGCATGTGCCCAACATGAACCCCAAATGTAGATATAGGAAAACTTGATGGTCTTGTTGCTTTGAACTTGATGGATGGCATCACTCATCACAGAGTATAATTTTACATACAACAGTTCTGTTGTATGTAAAATAAATATCAAATTATTAAGGGCAGTAGCATCTAGCTGTCAGAGGTATAGAAAAGCACAGGTCACATTTCAGTTTTTAAACTGCTTTTGCTTTCTTCTTTACGAAGAATTAAGTCAAAATATTGTGTAGTTGTATGTTTTCTCAGTCATATTTCTTACACTTAGAACACTGGAATAAAATAAAAGCTAGACCATTGTCTGAACTCTGTTTTTTGTTTTGTTTTTTCGTTTTTAAAAAAGGCTTAGGATGATCCTGGAAACTATAGTGAAGAACAAAATTACCAGATATACAGATGATCACGATATATTGGGGAAGAGTTAATATAAATTTTGTTAAGGGAAATCATGCCTTATCCATCTGTTATAATTCTTTGAGGGTGTCAGCAGGCATGTGGACAAGCATGATCCAAGTGATGATAATGTACTTGGAGTTTTAGAAAGTCTTTAACAAGGTTCCACATCAAAGGGAATTAATCAATGTAAGGAGTCATGGGATAACCAAGAAGGTCCTTTCATTGATCACTAACTGATTAAAAAATGGGGGAAATGATAGGAGTAAATGATAATTTTTCACCGTGAAGAGAAATAAATAGGGTACCCAAGACATGAGAAGTAATTCTTCTGCTGCACTTCATGCTGATTAAGCCTTAGCTGGAGTATTGTGTCCAGTTCTGGACCCCACATTTTAGAAAAGATGTGGTAAATTGGAGAAAATCAGGAGGAGAAAAACAAAAATGATTTTAAGGTTTAGAAAATATGATCTGTGAAGGAAAACTGGAAGAAATGAGTTTATGTAGTTAGGAAAAGAGAAGTTTTCAAAAATATAAAAGGTTGTTACAAGGAGGAAGGAAAAAAATATTCTCCTTGTCCTCTGATGGTAGGACAAGAAACAATGGGCTTAAATAGTAGCAGAGGCGGTTTAGGTTAGACAATAGGAAAATTGGACATTAGGAGAAACTTCCTAACTGTCACATTGGTTAAGCACTGGAATAAATTGCCTAGGAAGGGTGTGGAATCTCCATCATTGGAGATTTTTAAGAGCACGTTAGACTCCTGCTAGGGATGATCTAGATCAGGGCTACTCAATACATGACACGTTTGTTTGTGGCCCGTGGTGTGGTTTGGGTTTACGCAGGGCTCAGGACATGGCCTGAGGGTGAGATCCTTTGAACATGGCCTCCACTGGAAACACGCTCCACAGTGGCAAGGTGTCTCTCAGGCAGGGTGAGCATTGAAAGACCCAAGCGGACTGGCTGGCTAGAACAGAGGGTATAGGGTGTTGGCATTTCTAGTCCTCAGGGAGGAGGTGCCAGGAGTGCCTGGGCATTGTGGGAAGTGCTGACTGCTTAGTCTTGTGGGCAGAGCCTGAGAAGTGCTGACTGGCTCACGCTGGCCACGTTTGGATGCAGCGCCTGTGGCTTAAGGCTTAATCTTTGTATTCATGCCTGTCCATGTGAAAGAAGCTATTTGCATATATTTGTAATATATTAGCACGTATAATGCAACCACACTTAAGTTGCTGCACCTCGGCATGTGCTGTGAGTATCATTGTGGCCCCCGGGGCTTCCAAAGTTGAGTAGCCGTGTTAGTCTGGTGCAGCTGAAACAAAAAACAGGACTGTGTAGCATCAGTGGAGGACTGATCTAGATGGTCCTTGATCCTGCCATGAGTGCAGGGGGCTAGACTTGATGACCTCTCATGGTTCCTTCCAGTTCTATGATTCTGTGATCTGTAATGATACCCAGTTGTGTTCAGTATATTCATAAATAATCTGGAAAAGGGTTAAATGAAGATGATACAAAATTACTCAAGATAAGTATGTTAAAAGATGACTACAAACAGTTACAAAGATATCACACAAAACTGAGTGACTGTGAAACAAAATGGCAGATGAAATTTAGTGTTGATAAATGCACAATGGAAAACATAATTTCAGATATATGTACAAAATGATGGGGTCTAAATTAACTGTTGCCATTCAAGAAAGAGATCTTTAAGTCACAGAGGACAATTCTTTGTAAATAAACACACAGGCTGTGTCTACACTGGGCCACTTATTCCGGAAAATCAGCCGCTTTTCCGGAATAAACTGTGAGTTGTCTACACTAGCCCTTGAATTTCCGGAATAGCAACGACGCTGTACTGTACAAAATCAGCCATTATTCCAGAAAAACTATTCTGCTCCCGCTCGGGCATAAGTCCTTATTCCAGAACACTGTTCCGGAAAAGGGCCAGTGTAGACAGCCCAGTAGTCTTTTCCGGAAAAAAGCCCCGATCGCGAAAATGGCGATCGGGGCTCTTTTCCGGAAAAGCGCGTCTACATGGAAAAAGGGCCAATGTAGACGCTCCTTTTCCAGAAAAACTGAAAATGGAATAGTATTCCGTTTTAAGCATTTCCAGAAATTCATGCCAGTGTAGACACAGCCACAGTGTGCCACAACAGTCAAAAAAGCTAACAGTGTTAGGCATCATTACGAAATGGATTGACAGTAGAATAGAAAATATCACCATGTACCTGTGTAAATCCCTGGTATGCTCACACCTTGAATAGCGCATGTAGTTCTGGTGTCCCCATCTCAAAAATTACATATTAGAATTGGGAAAAGTACAGAGAATGGCAACAAAAATGGGTTAGGGGCATGGATCATAGGTGGAGAGATTAAAAAATCAGGGGCTGTTAATCTTAGAAAAGAAACAAGTCAATGGGGATATGATTCTGGTCTATAAAGCCATGAATATTGTGAAGAAAGATCTGGCCCCTGAGGCTCGGGACTCCCCTCAGCATTGGGGAGACCATGCTGGTGAGGAGTGGGGTTTTTTTTGTTTTGTTTCTCACTTGTGTGCAGCCCCTGACTGATTTTTCTGTGGGTCAGAACCCATAAAAGGTTCCCTAACCTTACTTTACAAGTTGCAAGCCAAAGACCTAATTAAGGACATCATAATTATTAGATTGCCTACATAATCAATGTATTGTATCCAATATAAAGACATTCATATGTTGTCATAACACACCCTTATTGTCAATCCATGATTGGTTTTTTAACTTATTTTTGTTACTGAAATTTCATATTTCAGGGATATTGTTAAATAGAAGATGCTATTAGTTAATATGATTATAATTAATAATAATATGTTTGTATTACCATAGCAGTTAACAGTTGAAAGGAATTTTAAGTAAATTCAGAAAGGTCTTCTGTTGTTTTTGTAGTTGAAGATCAATGGTGACAAATTAGTTTCTGTTTTGGGAATTGTTGAGATTTAAAGGTATAAAAGTGAAACATCAAACAGCAAGGAGAGAGGAAAAACTTCTTAAAATATGGGAAAATATCATTGTAAAACAGAAGTTGGAATGATAACTCAAGAAAGCATGTGTAGTACCTGAACAGAAAATTACCCATGATCTATTCAATGTTATAGCAGAGGCACAGTTAACTGAGAAGACCTCACTGCAAGGGATCCAGCAGCTTGTTCGCAAAACCTGCCAGGCTTTAGCTTTGTGGAAACTTCTCTGTGAGCACCAATTCAGTGTTGTTGTAGGTGAGCTTCAGAAGGTATGATATAAACTTTACTGAACAATAGTCTGTTTTTAGTTGATTGCATTTAATAGGCTTCTTAAATATGTATGCAAAACAATATTATAGTCTAATCTATTTAAATGGATTTCACAAACTACACAGCATGAAAAAGGTTTCCAGAGTTTAGTTTCTTGGTATTGCAGGTATTCCATTAAAATAAAATCTTAACTAATTGCTTTCATGCCCCAAACTAACTAACAGACTTGAAATGCTATTAACTAATATTGGATTTGTTGTTTTAAAACTCTGCTTATAAGTTAATATTGAGTTTGTTTGTAATCACTCTGTTCTCACTTTTCAGTTGAGCAAAGTCTGGTACATGCAGAGTGAATACAATGGGACTTAAATGAGCACAAAAAATTCACTCCCTGCCTTCTGGCTTTCAAAGTCTAGCAGAGGAAGAAAGACCAAAGTATCAGAGCAGTGATGGGCAACTAGGCTAGTGAGAGGGCCATGTGAGTGGCTCTCCTTCATCTCATTGGGCCACAAGATTGTTGTAAACAAAGTAGTCTCCAGGGATATGGTAGATCTAACTGAATTTGCGTACTTACTATTTGTGGGTTGTGCCAATTGTACCATAATGCTTTGATTGGATACAGATGGAGCACACAGTTCTCACATTCAGTGTGTTCACTCATCACACACCTCACTTCACATATCCTTGCTTTATATGCGTGTCACTTTAATAATACTGGTAGGGGGAAAAATCTATATGGAAATCTGGCAAACCTGTCCATGGGCAATAGTAAACAAAATATCTCCTGGGCCACATGTAGAACTCTGGCGAGCTGCAGGTTGCCCACCGCTGTACTAGAGGCTTCAAGTCCCAGCAGTTTTGGGATGGGAAGGGATATTTAGTCCTCTAGGAAATTTGTAGAGGAACTACTGCAGCTCCCACCATTAAGATAACTGGCAGATGCCACCATTAATATAACTAGCCATAAGTGCTGGATCGTTCTCTTTTAATATAGTATTTTCTATATTAGTCTTAATGTGTATTAAAATGTGCATTGATTCTGTGAATTTTGGTTATTGAAATGTGTTGTTTATTGGGAAAGTAGCTGAATTTGCTTCTGTTTCAATAGTCCTGTTTGGAAATATGAAAAGGCTGCATCGTTGGAAAAATAATCTATTGTTTTTCTTCCTATAGGAATTTCAAGAGCATTTAAAGATTACTACTTTCAAAGATTTAGTAATTAGAGACAAAGAGTTAACTGGAGCGCTCATTGCCTCTCTCATTAACTGTTACATCAGAGATAATGCTGCTGTGGATGGCATCAGTTCACATTTACAAGACATATGTCCACTTCTGTACGGTACTGATGATGCTGTCTGTTCAAAGGTACTTTTGATTCTTTGTGGTGGGTGTGAGAGGCATTCATGGAAGACAGAACTGTTCTGTATAATTCTTCTTTTGCTATGACAAAAATACTATTTTGCATTTTATATTAATCCCACTGTATCCTCTTAAAGGATAGAAATTAAATGTGCTTGACTCCTGCCCCTGAGAAGCTGACAAAGTAATTCATAGACCCTGTAGTTCAGTTACTGGAGCTGATTATTTATTGGTTGTGCTCCCACTACATTTTCACCATTGACAGCTTGGGTTCTAGTGTCGGCACCAAGGAGGAAAGAGTTGTCACTCTACTTCCACTCCCTTGCTCTTCTCCTCTCTGGTTTCCTTCCTCCTGGCTAATTGGGCTGGTAGCTGTCACCCATTTACCAAATAGGTGCAGGTTTTCTCTAGCCAGCTCCAATTTATTTCCCTTAATGGGAGCTGACAATAGAGGACTGAGTCAGCAGTTCTTACTCAGGACTCTGTCACAGTGCTGATTATCATTACTGGACTTGCATCCAAACTTGCAGAATAGTAGGTAGTATGATCAGATGAGCACAAAATATTTGTGTTACTGTCAGATTTATTTTCATTAAATGACTATGACATTAAATGCATATGCAAAAAACAGGACTATGTAGCACTTTAAAGACTAACAAGGTGGTTTACTAGGTGATAAGCTTTCGTGGGCCAGACCCACTTCCACAGATCAAATATTTGATTTGTCCTTTTCATATGTGTTCATTTTTTTGATTGTATCCTTTGGTATATATGGTTGTGGCAATTTTCTTCCACTATTTGGTCTGAGGAAGTGGGTCTGAAGCAGTCTCCACTCACACCACTTCTGCTGCAGTTCTGCTTTTGAAATGTACAAGAGCCCCAGCAAACTTGAAATGTACAAGACTCCAACCCCTGCTGGTCCTGTGCTCCCTACAGGCTTTCCTTTTGAAATGTATAAGAACCCCACTTGGGCTCTTGTACGTTTCAAAAACTGAGGCACCACAGGGAGCATGGGGCCAACTGTGGGGGGAAGAGGCCCCTCAGGGAGCATGGTACCAGCAGGGATTCTGCTTTTGAAATGTTCAAAAGTCCAGACTGGGCTCTTGTACATTTCAAAGTCTGAGGTGTTGCAAAGAGCACGAGGCCAGTGGGAGTTCCCCACTGGTCCTGTGCTCCTTGCCAGGCTTCCTTTTGAAATGTATGTTTCAAAAGCTTGGGCGTGCAGGGAGCATGGGGCCAGCGCGAGTCCCTCTCTAGCCCCATGCTCACTGAGGTGCTTCTGCTTTTGAACCCAATAGACCTCTTGCTACAGTTCAAAGGCGGAGGTGACCTTATAGATTCAAGAATAGTCAGTGGAAATCCCATCAACTATTCAATTAGTTAATTCATCTAAATGTAACATCCCTATGTAGTATTTCAGGGTTTGAAAATTGTGAGCTAACAGAGTGAATTATTGCAAAGAAAACCTCCATGCCAGTGTAACTTGAATTAGTAAGGACTTACATTTTCAATTATTTCACTGTAGGCAAATGAATTGCTTCAGCGATCCCGACAGGTTCAAAACAAATTGGAAAAAGAAAAGATGCTAAGAGAGTCATTGAAGGAGTACCAAAAGATCAGCAATCAAGTGGACCTTTCTAATGTTTGTACACAGTATAGACAAGGTAAGAGGCAAACATCACTGGAAATTTGGCAACTTGAGAATTAAGGCTTGGATTCAGACCCCTCTTTTCTTTTTAACATTTCTAAGAGATAATCCGGAAAAATATACATATAAGAAAAATAAACAAATGGATACACAAAGGCTTTTGTGCTAAATCACATTTCAAATATGTTAACTCTTTGCTTTATTTTATGTTATTGTTGATAGTCACATTTCAGGATGGAAGGAAACTAAGCAGGTTATTTACAATTGTTCATCAATAAGCTAATCTGTAATGTTTCTTCTTTTCACCATAGAACCTTAGGACTGGAAGGGACCTTTATATAGTCCTGCACTTCTCAGCCAGGGTGTGAAGCCCCAAGGGTAGCTGTAAGAAGTTTTAAGGGGTCTGCCAAAATTAAACCAGAAAGCAATTAGAGTCATGGGGACCCAGGGCAAACGGTCAAATCCCAAGCCCCCATGCTCAGGTCTGAAGTTGAAGCTTGAGCAGTTTAGCTTCACAACGTTCCCTGTGATATGGAGTCCTCTGGCCGTTTGTTCTGCTTATTACCCCTTAATGCCAGCCCTGGCTTTTAATCTGCTGCAAAACAATTGTGCTGGCACAGGTGAACCACAGAATTTTTACAATGTGTTGGGAAGGCCTCAGGAAGAAAAATTTTAAGAATCTTTGATCTAGTCCAGACCCCTGCACTGATTGCAGAACCAGGCATCATCAGGCCATCCCTTGCAGGTGTTTGTCCAATCTGTTCTTAATAATCTCTAATGACAGAGATTCCACAACTTCCCGGGGTAATTTTTTTCAGTTATTAACAATTTTACATTTAAGACGCTTTTCCTAATATCCAATGTAACCCTCCCCTTCTGCAATTTAAGCCCATTGCTTCTTGTTCTATAATCAGTGGTTAAGGAGAATAATTTGTCTCTATCCTCCTTGTAAGAACTTTTTATGTATAAGACTGTTATCATGCCCTCACTCAGTCATCTCTTTTTGAGACTAAACAAACCCAATATTTTCAATCTTCCCTCATTGGCCATGGTTTCTAATTCTGTAATAATTTTTGTTGCTCTTCTCTGGACTTTCACCAGTTTGTCCACATCTTTACTGAAATGTGGCACTTATAATTGGACACAATATTCCAGTTGAGGCTTAATCGGCACAGAGTAGAGCGGAAGAATTATTTTTCATGCCTTGTTTACAATACTCCTGCTTATGTATCCCAGAATGATGTTTGCTTTTTTTCCCTATAGTGTTACGCTGCTGCATCAGAGTTAGCTTGTTGTCCACTATGACCACCAGATTCCTTTCAAGCAGTCATTTTCCATTTTGTATGCAACTGATTGTTCCTTCTAAAGTGAAGTACATTTCATTGTCCTTACGGAATTTCATCATATTTACTTCAGACTATTTATATCAGATGCTATGTTTGTTGAACTGGTCTGGGGTTGTTTAATACATTCATGGTTGCATTTTCCTGGTGTCAATTAGTGCCATGTTTTTAGGGCAGGTCTAGACCTACTAAATCAACCCCCAGTTGATCTATCACTGCAGCATCAATCCACTCCATAAGAGAGATCCATTATTTCCCTCTGTTTTGCCCTTAAATAGCTTATTGCTAGCCTTTGCACTTCATACACATCATAATCTTCTTTTTGTTCATGGCTTTTCTTGATTAGATTTGAGCAGCTCAGGCATATTTTTCCTATGTAAAAATATTGCTTTGTGCTGTATAAAATTTCGGCATTAAATTTCCCAGGCACCTACCTGTTTGATAAGATGCTTTTAACAAAACACCTGTGATAGAATTTAAATTGCTGTATTTTGTTGCAGGTGGTGTCTCACATTACATATCAAACAGTGATTTTGTGCTAACATAGCATTCAGGGAAAATGAATGCTTTTTGTATATATTCATACAACTTCTATAATATTCAAAATGGTTTGTGCTCCAGTCCTTTAAATGTATAACTTTAAGCATGAGAATAGTCCTTCAAATTAAGCATGTATGTTAGTGTTTGTAGGATCAGGGCCATTGGGAGTGAGGGAAATTCTTGCATTATAAAATGTGAAGTGTTCAATCTATTAGTTCACTATTATATATTAGTTTGCAGTACATTTAATATTGTGGTGGACCAAACTCTCATTTCTTTCTTTTCTGAAGTGCGTTTCTATGAGGGTGTGGTGGAACTGTCTCTTACTGCTGCTGAGAAGAAGGATCCTCAAGGTCTTGGACTTCATTTTTATAAAAATGGAGAACCTGACGAGGACATTGTTGGACTCCAGGCTTTCCAGGAGAGGCAAGTTTTCAGGATACACTGCCATTTTTTATTCAAGGCACTTCACTTGTAAGAACATAGCAGCTGATTTGGATGAGATGATAGATAAGCCTCCCAGAATTAAGAGCAGGGTGAGAACACATTGTCATCAGTGCACATTCTTTAGATATTGATATGCTGTCTTTATTTGGGACAAAAGGTTAATTCATGGTATCGTGAGTTTTCGTGGGCACAGCCCTCTACCTTCCTGAATTTTCTATGCCCTCTGCTCCCTGTCTCCCACCCCCTCCTTTTTTTCCTGCCTCTCCCCCCTTATTTATTTTGGGTCTGCACAACCTAAACTCAAAACTCCAGTCATCTGAAGAAGCGGGCTGTGTCCACGAAAGCTCATGATACCATCTACATGTTTTGTTAGTCTTTAAAGTGCTACCAGACCATTTGTTAACATGTTGGCCAGCTTTAGTCATGTTATGTTTTTAATGGAAGATGCTACATTATGAAATATACGACTTTGGTGAGGAGTAGTATTCATAGTATATATCCTTTAAATATTATTTTGATTCCACAAGGGGAAAACAGCGCCCTCAGAGACTTTTGCACCATGCCCTCCTAACTGAAAGGAAAATAGCATTTTAGGAGTTATTACTGAAGTGGGAATCTGCACAACAAATATTTGTGAAGATCATTCCAGAAGAGAGAGGCAGGTAGTAAATTACTTAGATTCAGCTGACATGGTCCTCCAAAGCCTTTCCTCTTAGTTTCATAAATATTTTACCAGTTGTATTGTGTGGGAAGAAGGATCTCACAGATAACTTGTAACCTAAAACTTTTTCTTATTTACCTTCTTGCAGGTTAAACAGTTACAAGTGCATCACTGACACCCTTCAGGAACTAGTAAATCAAAGTAAAGCTGCTCCTCAGTCTCCCAGTGTACCCAAAAAGCCAGGCCCTCCAGTGTTGTCATCTGATCCCAATATGTTGAGTAATGAAGAAGCAGGACACCATGTAAGAAACTTACTAAAGAGATACTGTCACAACTATCTTGCTTTTTAAGAACTGGGAAAGGTTTAAGTCAAAAGGCTACCATTTTTTTCTAGGAGAGTATAATCTTATAAGAAGTTTGTACAAAATATTCTTCTAAAGTAAGTTAACAGAGATAAAGCCAGGATTTGAAATCAATTTGTTTTCACATATATGAGAGAATATATGTGTTCATAAAAATTATTGTATATCGATGTACATTTTGGCACATATACATATGCAGTGTTTGTAAACCCAGAGACCAAGTTATTGAGCTGTATGTGAAATGTGAACAATTCTGGAATAACAGTTTGGAGCTTTTCTTTCTTTAGTTTGAACAAATGCTGAAACTGGCTCAGCGTTCAACAGATGAACTCTTCTCTATTGCTCTTTACAATTGGCTAATACAAGCTGACCTTGCAGATAAACTGCTGCAGGTAAGACCATACAAAATAAATATACTCATAAAAATGTTTTGGGGGGCACTTCTCTTAGGCCAAAAGAGTTGATTGTGGTACTCTCTAAAACCACAGTTTTTAAGGGTTCTTTAAAAAAAGGCTTAACTATGGTTTATATGATTCCTACAGGTTACCTCCCCATTTCTGGAGCCATATCTCGTGCGTATGGCCAAGGTTGATCAAAACAAAGTCCGTTATATGGATTTACTATGGAAATACTTTGAAAAGAACAGGAATTTCAGTAATGCAGCCAGAGTGTTGGCTAAACTGGCAGACATGCATAGGTATGGACAGTTTGTAATCAATGTGTTATACCTCGTAGTGAGATAATAATAGTTTAGTGTTCACGTGAATTAACATTTTTAAACAACAAACAAAAACCTAAAATATTATATAAATATCAATTTTTAACCTGGCTTCTGTTAGAATAATAAAATGGAAACTGTTACATATTTTATACAGAAATAAACAGCTTACAGAATTATTGTAGCTGTGAAATATTAAGTAGTAACTTAGGCATGTTGTGTACTTTATAATGTAATTTTATACAGTTGTAGAGTAGCAGAAGGAGAAATGTCTTACAAATGGGCATGTTCAAAGTGGTTAATTGACTTAGTTACCCTTTGAGCCAGTGTCCGAGCTAAGAGAACTCCAAAGTCCTAATTCCTATGTGCCCTTAAGTATAATTATTTTGGGAATATGCTTTTGGCACGGTTACTGTCCTAATGAATTGGGCAGGCCTGGGCAAAATATGGCCCACGAGCTGAATCCAGCCTGCAGACAAAGTAGATACCCCCAAGCAGGCTCCCTGCTTACCTCGCCCCACCCGCATGCCACTTAGAAAAGCAGCTGCTGAGCGGTTTTGCTTTAAAATCTGTGAAGGAAGGCTTTAGAATAGGGCTATTCAACATGCGGCACTCAGGCCAGCCCGTTTGTGTCCCGTGGTGCGGTTTGGATTTATGCAGAGCTTAACACACAGCCTGTGGGTGGGAGCCAAAACAAAAAAGGTAGTCAATATAATGGTCTTCAGTTGATATGCGTTTTAGTAGTTAAGTTCCTGGACTGTCATTGCTCATTAAAAGTGCTGTCATATGGATGGAAATGGAGTAAATATTGCATTTTATTAATATCAGCAGAACTGACTTAAATGGGGCCTATGTGTTGTGTAGTCTTGTCTTCATCTTTTTATTCATGCCTGTCAGTGTGAAAGAAGCTATTTGCATATATATTTGCACGCACAGTGAAACCTTTGTTATCCAGCACTCTGTTAACCAGAAAACTTTGTTCACCAGCATTGCCCCCAGCCACAATACTATCATATCTTCAGGCGCACAGGCCTGGCTTGGTTTACCATGATTGGCTTAACAATTTTTTATTTAAGAAGTACTAATCATCTTTAACTTAAAATAGAAATGTGAGAACAACTGCCTCATACTACAAAACTACCAATATTAAAAACTTGAATTTTACTATTATTATCCATTGGTTTTTCCTAGGTTGATGGGACTCTCAGATAACCGGAATTTTTAAATAACCGGAACGCCCTAATCCCCAAGCATGCCAGATAACATAGGTTTTACTATAGATGCAACCACACTTAAGTTACAGCCCTTGGCATGTGCTATGAGTATCACTGTAGCCCTTGGGGCTTCCAAAGTTGAGTAGCCCTGCTTCAGGAGCTGCTCCCGCCCCAAGCACAATCCCATTGGCCTGTTTTTTGGGCAGAAACTGCCAAATGGGAGCTGCCTGTTTCAGTAACAGGCAGCCAAGAAGCACCACGTCTCCCCTGCCCTCCAGGGCTCATAGTTATTCACAGCCTGTGCTGCAGCCTATCTGGAGATGGAGCAGGCAGGGAGGCTGCTTCAGGAAAGTGCTGGGCTGCTGGCTGGTAAGTTTCCTGGTCAGAGCCTGTCCCTGGCACCTCAGCCCCTCCCTTCCCCAACCCCCTGTTGCCCACTCCTGCCCCCTACTCCACATATGAAAATCCTCTGCGCCCCCACTCCAACCCCCACCCCGACTCCCCCGCACCGCTATCCCCTTCCAGATCTGGCACCTTAATCCCTGCCCCAGATTAGTTTCCTCCCACAACTGGTTTAAAGACCATACTCAAGAAAAGTTATTAATTTGATGTCAGAATAGTAAGACCTATCTAGCAGTGTCCCACAGGAGTAAATCCGGTATTTCCATTAATGATTTAGATAGTAGAGTAGACAAAACTCATAAAATTTTCAGGTGACATCAAGTTGGGGGTGTTGCAGGCACTCTGGAGTACAAGATTTGAACTCAAAATCACCTTGAAAATTAGAGAATTGGTTTGAAATCAAGATTAAATTAAATAAAGACGAAGTACAAAGTGATATGATCAGGTCTCGCCGAACCATGGCAAGCCCTGCTCGCCAGCCATGCCTGTTCGGTGATCTGCGCATGCACAGATTGCCCGAATCTACTGGCCATGAGCAAGTAGATTGCATTATTTGTCGAGCCCTGGATATGATTAGGAAAGAAAAATCAAATGTGCAACTTCTAAATTGGAAATAACGAGGTAGGTGCTAATACTGCTGAAAGGGATCTAGGATTTATAGTGGATCAAAAATTGAATGTTTCAACATTGTGATGAAATTGCAAAAAAGGCAAGTATTCTAGTACATATTAACAAAAATCTTATATGTAAGACACTGAAGATAATAATCACACTATTCTTGGCACTGGTGAGGAGAATCTAGAGGGAAAAGAACAATCACTGTAAAAGATTTAGAAAACCTGATCTATGAGGAAAAGCTTAAAAAACTTCATTTTTAATCTGAAGAGAAGAAGACTGAGGGGAGACCTGAAAACGGTTTTTAAATATGTTATTGTCTGTTTTAAAGAGGTTGGTGATGATCTGTCTTTCCTTTAGTGGACATAGAGAACAAGAAGTAATGGGCTTACTCTGCAGCAAGGGAGATTTAGGTTAGCTGTTAGGAAAAACTTTCTAAGGCTATGTCTGCATTGGCAACTGAAAGACAAAAGTGTTAAAACACATCTGAGGAAGTGGGTCTGGCCCACAAAAGCTCATCACCTAATAAACCATCTAATGCCACTCTATTGGAGATGGATGTTTTTTGTCAACAGGAGAGTCAACAAACAGTGGCTATACTGCATGACTTCTAGCGGCATGGCTGTAGCAGCACAGCTATGTCACTAAAAGCTGCATAGTGTGGACAAAGCCTTACTGTAAGGGTACTTAAGCTCTGGAATAAGCTTCTAAAGGAAGCCATGGAATCCCCATCACTGAAGGGTTTTGAAACCAGGTTAGACAAACACCTGTCAGGTTTTGTCTAGGTTTGGTTAGTCCTTTCCCAGTGCAGTGGCTGTTATAGACCTCTCAAGGTCCCTTTCTGTCCTACATTTCTGATTCTGTGTCCTAGATACTTAGTTTACAATTTGATATTATTTTACAGTACAGAAATTCCACTTCAGCAGCGTCTTGAATATATTGCACGTGCCATTTTGAGTGCCAAGAGTTCCACTGCCATGTCATCAATAGCTTCAGATGGTGAATTTCTACATGAACTAGAAGAGAAAATGGAAGTAAGAAAAGATGAAAAACTATTTCCCTTGGCAGCTGCTGCTATTATTTTTATTATTAATTAATCATATTTGCTTATGGTATTGCTTAAGGAACAACCAGGAGTGGGAGCCCAGTTGTGCTAGGCACTATACAAATATAGAACACAGGACAGGAAGAAGCTATGATGAAAAGTTAATGTTCTTACCAGTATCAATGTTAGTATAAGTCTTTTGTATTATTGGCAGTTACACTATATATTTTTCTACTGATGTAAATGCTAAAACAAACTCTTTAGGCTGAAATGTACTGTCCCAGTAAAAATCAGAAGATCTAGATGCACTCATTTTACTAGGACTAGGTCTCTAATATAAGCTGATGGAATTTCTGTATTTAAATGTGTTAGAACTAACTCTAGGTTTTTCCAAATTTCCATAGCTTTGAAAGAAATGAGTGACTCTTGAATTATCATAATTTTTAAAACTAGGTGGCTAGGATACAGCTACAAATAGAGGAAACGTTACAACGGCAATATTTCCATCATTCTTCGGTACAAGATGCAATTTCCCAGTTGGATTCTGAGCTGATGGACATAACCAAGGTGATTAGAAATATGTTGATGTTATCTAACTGCTCAAACTACTTTGCAAAAGCAGATGCATTATCCCACTCTTAAATATAAGCTTCTCTAGTATCTGAGAGTGATATATTTGAACAAATTATTTATCAGGCATTAGCCAAAATAGTCAGTGAATTCAGCTTCCTGTTTTAAAAAATTATATATATTTAGGTTTAGCCTAGCTAATCTTGTATTTTCATGTTCTAGCTCCAGTATTTCCTTCTTCTTTGGGTCGTTTGCTGTAGGAAACACATTATTTACATGGTGCACAGCTTCTTTGGTTTTAGAACTGATAAACTGGCAAACACTCAAGTTCTTTCCTACTTAGCTTTAAAATTTTGAAATTCTATGGTGCTACGGAGCTGACTTGATTCCATATAAATGCTCTGCATGCAATATCTATGAATGGCAATTAAAATGTACCATCTGCTATTCTGGCTTAGTTTCATTTTGTGTATGTTGCATGTTAATGAATAACTGTTCTGTTTAATTCATGGTTTGTCCTGACTAAAATGTCAAACTCTGTCTCTTTTATTGCAGTTGTATGGTGAATTTGCTGACCCTTTCAAGCTCTCAGAGTGTAAGCTTGCAATTATACATTGTGCAGGTCACTCAGATCCTATCTTGGTACAAACTCTCTGGCAAGAAATAATTGAGAAAGGTAAGTCATGACTAACTGGTACTGAAATGGCTTAGAAATATAGAATACTGGTAAATTAGTGCCAGTGATCTTATGTTCCTGTTAGTATCCTATAAATATGAAATGTTAGGTATTATCTTTTAGGAATATTCTGAAGTACACTGCAGAATGCGAAACCTATATATTAACTTCAGAGATTAGGAATTTTGTAAAAATGTGAAGGCTTATTATTTTAACAAAAGAATTGTACAGGATGATGTCTTTGTCCTCAGTGCCCACATGGAGCTTGTTTTGGGATTGGGGCTTGAGTCTGTTAGTATTGCAGAAGTCAGAAGTACATTTTCTTCCAGTTGTAGACATGACTACGGAATGTTCCAAATGTCAATTATTCTATCACTTTAGAAGAAGATGACTTCACAGTGAGTGAAATGCAGCTGTATGAATTAAACACCAAGACATGTTATAACATAACTAGGGAAAATAATTTATTATTGTGATGGTAAATACGTTCATTAGTTAGTAGCATTATCTATTTACACATTTTTTTAAAAAATGCCTTTATTAAATGGTATGTTGAAATTAAACTGTGCTTAGGTTTTTGAGCCTGTGTATTAATCCAGTATTGTTAACATGTTTCTTTCCACTGCCTAAAGGAAGGTAGAAATCAAACATTTGTACAAATCTAAGAATGATTTACATAACATATGACTTGAGTAACCCGTAAGAATGGCCGTACTGGGTCAGACCAAAGGTCCATCTAGTGCAGTATCCTGTCTGCTGACAGTGACCAATCTCTAACCTGAATCTACTTTGCTGCAATTTGAGCCCATTACTTAGTATATTATCCTCAGTGGATAAGGAGAACTGTTTATCATCCTTTTCTTTAGAACAGCCTTTTGATTTAATTGAAAACTTGTCATCATGTCACATACCTCAGTCTTCTCTTCTGCAGACTTAGCAAACCCAGTTTTTTCAGTTTTTCCTAGTAGGTCATGTTTTCCAGATCTTTAATCATTTTTTGTTGCTCACCTCTGAGCATTTTCCACCACATCTTTCCTGAAGTGTGGTGCCCAGAACAGGACACAATACTCCAGTTGAGTCTTTATCCGTGCTTAGTAGAAGAACTACTTCTCTGATCTTGTTTACATTCTTTCTAATACATCCCAGAATGATGCTGGGGGGGGCGGGGAGTTTGCACAAAGGTATTAAATTGTTGACTCCTATTTAGTTTGTGATCCATTAAATCCCCTCCCCCCTGTCATGGCTTCTTCCCCACTCTGGCACAATAAAGGCAGAAGTGTGGGCCAGCAAAAGTACCCCAAAACCCTATCTACCAGACATTGGTATAAAACTTCCCCCCCAAAATCTTAACCTAGATTTTGGGAATAAAATCTCCACTGCTACCACCTAAGTATTGATACAAAAATCAGGGGAAAGATCACTTGGGAAATCTTACCCCTAAAGTACAAACCAGGACACTACCATTAACCAATACCAGGTTAATAAAAAGAAAAGAGAAAGAACTTTTATTATCACCACAATATTCCTGTTGCAAGCATAATGACTAGATGGAAAAGTAACAAAATAATATACTCATGGAGGAGAAATCTACCATGGGCCAGGAACTTAGTTACAAAGGAGAGCAAAACCCATTTTTAAATGCACAAACATCTGATCACATTTCCCAAACTATGAAACAATAAAACCTAACAGATTTATCTAAACTTTATCCTACTTATAGACTGTGAAGAGTATTTTCTTAGAGGGAGACATCCTGTCCTCTTCAATAGCTGGAGAGAAACTGCCCGAACAAAGAGGGGAAAAATCCTTTGTCCCAGTTTGAAATTCCTACCTGTATGCCTATTGGCTGAATCTACCTGGTTAAGTACGGGACATAGTTAAGCCCTTAATCCCCAGGCTGCTGGCTAACCCTCATGATCATGATACCCCCTTCTCCCCCCTCCCCCTCCCGTATCAATCCTGTATCAGTTATGTGCAACCATGTCTCGCCAAGGAGAGTCTGGAGGCAGAAGAGATTTGCTAAATGGCAAGAGACGATCTTTCATGAGAGTGTGCTGCCTCCTTCACCCAATTCTTACTCCCTGCTGACCTCAAGCTCCATTATATTGTTTATACTCCTTGGTTTCCATTACGCAGGGGCACTTCTAAAAAAAGATGGCTTCAGAAATCCTGAAGATTTCATCTGACAGTTTCATAAGGACGTGTTAATCAAAATGTTAAGTAAAGCTAATGCTGAGCAAGATTACAGACTGAAGTGAATTCAGTGTTTATGAAAGGCTGTCAGATTGACAGCATGGAAATTGAACTCTTCTGGTTGTCCAGAGAAGAGGTAGAGCACTGGTTCCAGTTGAGAGGCTTCCCCACGTGAGTCTGGCAGTTTGCCTTAGCCTCTATAGTGATTAAGTAGCAAATAGTTAACTTTCCTTGACTTTATACTAGTGACTGCCAGGGAAGTCATATCACCAGCTTTGGTGATTATCCAGTATGTACACTTTTCCACTGGGTATTGGATTGAAACTACATTTCATTTTAGATAGGTCTCCCAAAAGCTATTGGATAAGATATTTTTAAGATATTGAAGCATTTGGTCATATACATTAGTGGACTTTTGTGAAATTCAAGGGGATACTATTACCTGTTCATGTATGATATGCACTCATGTGAAATCTAAAAGTGTATTTGCATTTCCATATGCATAAGTAAGTCTTGGTTAGAAAAGACTTGTTTGGAGTGTTAGTGATACTACAATGTTGTGCTTGCATTTAATAGGTAATAATTAGGTTTTTTATTTAATTACTCTCCATAAACTTTAGATAGAAAGTAAAGGTAGATTATAACTTCTCTTTCAGAGTTGAGTGACAGTGTGACTCTGAGCCCAGCTGACAGAATGCAAGCTCTTAGTCTAAAGATGGTATTACTTGGAAAAATATATGCTGGCACACCTCGTTATTTTCCTTTAGGTAAGTCACTTAACACAGAGTATTTGGAAGAAACCATAGGCATTATAGCAATGGCTTCAAAGCCTCAAATACTCCCTAAAAATTGAAATATAACATTTGCTCTATTCAATAACTTTTGTATGATGCTAATTAAAAACAATAAAATTTACCTGTTGGTTTTGCATATGTTAAATAAATGTTATCTTTGCATACTGTGCTCTTTATACAAAACAGAATTAAAAGATCATGGTGAAACAAGTTATTTTGAGATTATTGGAAAAACAGATACAATTGTAAGATTATGTATCTAAAGAAAACTGTAATTTCTACTATCAGTACATCTGATCTATATTTTTGTGTGTCAAATTTTCCCTTGTGGCTGGAACAGTAAAATGAAATCACTTTTCATTGAAATTTACTATTGTACCTTGTACGGCAGACCTGAGGCTTAATCAATAGTAAAGCTACCCTGGGGGGACAACAGAGGTCAAAATATCCACCATGGGATCTGACTCCTCTGTCACTTGCTCAGCTTTAATGCCAAAATCCTGGGCAATCCTACAAAGCAACTGCTGACGGACTTTCATATCATCAAGAACCGGGGTCACTGCTATGCCCACCGATGCCTCGTCAGAAGATGAGGATGAAGAAGGCGCTACAACTGAGATGTTCTCCTCTACGTCTGAGCACACTAACTTCCGTTGGTCCTGAGGGTCTTGGTGGTGTTCTGGTGCTAAGGGGAGAGTTGACCGTGCCGGTGCTGTGTACATTGATGCCGGCCCTGGTGCCTAGGAAGTTGACAATGCCTGCATCAGGTTGTGAAGAGACGAAGGCACTGCTGATGATGCTGCTGTTGCCATTGGTGCTGTGGCCACGGTGCTGGGTACAGGTAACGATGCCGAAGAAGTTGGAAGGTCTATACCTCCAGCCAGTGCTGGAGCAGAGATCGAGGTCAGTGCTTGGGACAACGCTGCTCTCAACAGCATCGGAGTAGGCACCAGTCAGAGATGTTCTCCACCCTGGCACTCCGAGTGCAGACTCCTCAGTCAGAGTCATGCAGATACAGACCGACTGACCTTCCAGGACATACAAATCAAATCATGACCTTAAAAAAGTGATTTTTTTTTTATTACAAAACAAACGATAAAATGGATAAAGCATACTTGATTGCTAGATGTTACAGAGCAAATAAGGAAAACAAATTAAAACAGATAAAAGTCTCTGGGCACAGTACTAGCTGATAAATGGGGAGAGGGGAAATAGATTCACACAGAGCAGTTCAAACCACAAAATAAAGAAAAATTACCCTGAACACGACTAGATTCACTTTTCCCTTTACTTACTTCCAGTTTTCTCTTTGTTCATTCCACTCTCATGCCACAGATTACTTGGGAGTCATGGTAGTCCTGCCTGGGTTTAAATCATTCTCTCTCTCTCAACTCCTGGTTTTTCTCTCCTACACAAAGAAAGTCAGGGAACCTATATCCAATTCAAATTTCAACCCTCTATCTTGACTGGTTCTCCCAGCCCACTGGCCAACACCTTTGCTAGCTATCTGAGTTTTATCCCTTTAGTCACCAGGTGCTGGTCAGAACTCCTCCTGTCCATTACAGCACCATAGCTGGAGGATGTGGTGCCATAGAAGCGGGAGACAAACATGGCCAAGGCCACCAAAGACAGTACCAATGGATGTACTGGGAATCTACCTTGGGCTTGATTAGATGTCCCAGAGGTCCAGAAGGGCCACTATTGCGCATTCTGCAACTGAGATCGTGGCACCTGCTGCTGGTGATTGTGGTATCTTCTGTATCGAGACTTTCTGCTTGAGCTTCTCCTGGAACAGAATAACTGATTCCAATCCAAGAGTCTCAGAGAGGATCAGGGAAATTCTAGGTACCAACTGATGAAAGCTGGGCAATTGGCTGGGTCTCTTGTTCCCGGGTCTGATTATGGGCACAGAGCCACCTCCATTAGGAGAATTTTGAACCACTGTTCTCTGACCTTCAGCGTTCTAGGATGGAATCCATGGCAGATGCAGCAGTGATCTCACCCATGCACTTCAGGCAGGAGGAGTGAGGGTCACTTTTTGGCATGCGCTTGGTGCAAACATGACCGTTTTTAAACCTTGGAGAACATGATATGCCACAACTCCAGGTATTCTAAGAAACTAAGGGATGGGAAAACCTCCCACGAACAATAACTATAACTATATACAGGAACGCTAAGTAAACTACTACTAAAACTATATACACTAAAGAAGCTAGGAGAAATGGCACTTGCACAAGCAAAAGCTACGGAAGGTTCCAGCCTACCATCACTGGCTGTAAGAAGGAACTAAGGAGGGGGCAGGACAGCAAGATGCTATCTTTGGCACCATGAAGGTGCAACTCCAAGGGGTGTCCAGGCAGACCCTTAGTGTTACTGTGCGAACAATTTCTGGCCACTGTGCACACACCTATTGGAATACACATGAACAAGCACCCAAAGAAGAACTAAACGTTGTGTAAATAACTAACATTCATTTCTTAAACTAATATTAAAGCAAGATGGAACCTGAACAGGCAAGTTTTTTTTTTTTTTCCCTCTTCCAGATTTCTTAGTGCAATTTCTAGAGCAGCAAGTTTGTTCTTTGAATTGGGATGTGGGATTTGTGACATACACTATGCAGGAAATTGGAGTACCGCTGTCTAAGCTGCTTGAAGTGTATGACCAGTTGTTCAAAGCACGGGTAAGGATAATATTTAAGCTAAATTTTTATCTTCATAATTAAATTCTAAAAGGTTATATTAAATGTCTGATACATCTCATTTTAACTTTAATAAGCCTTGTGGTTGTAAAATAGCTTAATATTTTTAAAAAATCCTTACACTTTCTGATCCTAGTAGGTGAGGAAAGCTATTACTTCAGCTTTCAGCAATAGGATTAAAATTATTAGAAATGCTTCTCTTTAGCATGGACTACAGGTCTTGGATTCCTGAATCTGATTTTCTTTCTTAGGGATAGTTCATAATGACAAGGTCAGCAGAAACTGACAAACTATTCAGTCTTTCTTAGCATGTCCAGTGCTTCTGACTGGTCCTCCTTAATTTGCCCCCAATCAGGGCAATTCTTCGTATGATGGACTGTCACCCTTTGGGTGCAGTCAGGGAACTGTCACCACTGGGGTGCAGTTGTGGTAACAGTAGCATCCATCTAAGACAGTGGTCACCAACCAGTAGATCAGGATCTACTGGTAGATCTTAGAGTCTCTGACAGATTATCCTGACTGGTTTGGCTGGGAGGCACTTCAGTTGCCCCTTCCCTCACTGCCCTGCTGTTCCTTCCCAGAGTCTCAGAGCTGCCCCCTCAGAGTCTCCTGCTTGTTGTTCAGGGTGGGGGAGAGAGAGTCAGGGGGGCACTATTGTCAATCTGTCCCCCTCTGCTGTACCCCATCTTCACAGAGTGAGGTGGGTGGGGCCTTGCTGAAGGACTCGGGCAAGGATATTTGGGTTTGAGGTAGATCCTGGACTGACTTACATTCAAAAAGTGATCCTGTACTTTAAAAAGTTGGAGACCACTGATCTAAGATGTACCTTACTCAGGTGCTTCACCTATACCCTGTAATCACCCAGCATGACAGCAGCTGGTGCTGCTCACTCCAGCTGGGCTACCTGAGTGCCAACAGCAGATAACAACAAGTTTCCCAGTTCCCCAGGCAACTACCCCCATCTGAAGTATGAATCTAGAATTATACCATCCTGCACTGTACAGGGAGCTGCACAGTGTAAGTTCATTAATATGTCCAGCCTTCCCTCAATGTGTAAAGACATATGCACACTTGGGGTAATTAAACTGAGATTTTTTTCCCCCCAAACACTTCATTTAAAAGCACACTGGTTTAGGCTGAAATACAAAAGTTTATTAACTACAAAAAAGATTGGTATCATTTATAATTACTTAAGATAAAAGATCAAAGCAGATGACCTAGCAAATAAAACCACAAATTAAGCCTAAAATATTAGAAAGATTAGATATGAATTAACAATTTCTCACCCTGACTGATGATACTAGCAGGCTTGTAGAGTCTCAAGATGCAAGTCGCATTTGCTTTACAGCTTGGGGTCTTCACCCCCATTCCAAGTCCTTTTTCTTAGAAGCTTCACTTTGCCATTCAGTTGTGGGGGAGTGATTATGTCACTCCTTACCTTTTATAGCTTTGACATGGTGGGAAGCTTTTATTCTAAAAACAATTCCCAGCCAGTTTGTGGAAAAATACAGCTACCCAAAATGGAGATTAGTGCCATATGGTCCAATCACATTCCCTGATGAGTCCTAGCAACCAGTATTTACGTTATAGGTTCTCTGGAGCATCCTTGGGAAAGATCACCAGGTGGGGGATAAGCTTCTCCTAAGGCCTGCTGTTTTCCCTAATACTACATTACCCTGAATATGCCCTTCACAACTAGCTGTCTATGCTGGATACATTTTGCCCAGTAGGTGTCACTCAGGGATGTCAGTACATTTGAAATACATCATAACTTTAGATACAAAAGTAATACATGCATCCAAATAGGGTAGTCATTCAGCAAATCATAACTTCCAGTGACACCTCACATGCCTCATCTTGTACAACATCATCATAATTATGCCATAATCATATCATACTATGATGAATATGGCATATAGTGTTACACTGGGGCCTTGCTTCTAATGTGTCTAGCAATCTGTTTTTTATTCTCTTGACTGTGGAGGCAGCCTGATGCAGAGCTGTCATCCCCTTCACTGATCCAGGCCTTTCTGTCTCCCCTTCCTTCTTTGTAATCTCTCCTTTAAAGCAGGTCTTGTCTCCTTTATTGGCTGCAGCTGTGGGTGGCTGTCTCCATGATTAGGAACTGTGGCAACTGTATATCGGTATGGCCAAGCTACTTCCCTGTAAACAGGAAAGGTTTTGCCCCTTCTATCTATGCTCAGTATAGTGTTTGTAGACCCTATTACAATACCATATCCTATCAAATTATTCAGTACTTCAGCGTATATTTAGAATTATACAAATGCTAATATTTCCAATACTGTTATTGATGTATGTATATTTTATAGTTTCAGTAGTGGAAACCCATGCAAGTAAACTAACATCAAGATTCTCACTTTTTTCATTATTTTGCTGTAATAAATCAAACATTTAAAATATTATATTAACGCAATTTTTATGTACTGACATCCTCCATAATTCCATATTCATTAATTGGAATGTATTTTTGTACTGCCTTCCTAATTTGATGTCATCTTCTTTTAGGATCCATACTGGAATAGAATAAAAAAGCCTTTACACCTTTTAGAATGTATTCATGTATTATTATCAGGATATGTACAAGACCCCAACAAAGTTCTCAACTTTGAGAGGTAACTATGAACTATAAACAAGTGTTATACAAAGCTTAAAAATATACTCTCATCTTCCTTGTTTTGGAAGCTCCAAAGCCCTTTGGATCGCTGATTTTAAAATCCAACGCAAGCCAGAATCACCAAAAGTTATTGTTACTCATTGCTCAGAGGTATGCATGGATAGAAGTTCCAGTTTTAGATGATGTGGGGTTTTAATTTATTATTATGGTGCTTGTTTTTAAACAAATTGTCTCACTTTTAAGAAAATGTTTTTTAGTTCTTTAAAAATATGGACTCCCTCGAATTACATCAAAAATTGGCTGCCTCTTGAAACTTCATGTTCAGATTTACAGTAATGGCATTAGATCTTTTGTGATAACTGGCTCTCTTTGTACACAACTTTCAACTATACATGGTATTTTTGGTGTTTACTTTAAAAATCTATTTTTAAATGTATGCTTCTTATCCATGGATGGATCTTAACTAAAGACAATAGATAGGTATGTGAATAATTTACTTAAGTGTGATGTAATCTTGGCACCATTGCTGTAATAGGGAGGGCTATTGACTTCATTGGGGCTAGAATTTTACTTATAGAGCATGAATTCTTCTTTTGGAAATAGTTCCTCTGGAACAGGGTTCAGGCACATAGGCAATCCACTATCCTTTTACCAGCATAGGATTTCACTAAATAAAATAAAAGCACATATTT